GGACCACTTACTTAGCCAAGTGGAAACGGTTCTCCTGTTGGTGCGAGCAGCGGGCTACGCCCCCCTTGCAGGCGTCTATTCCTTTTATACTCGAATATCTCCTATCCCTGAAACAGCAGGGCTTGGCGATATCTTCAATCAGGGTTCACCTGGCCGCTATATCGGCGTTCCACCCAGGAGAACTCGCTTCCTCGGTCTTCTCTAACCCGATGGTCGTCAGATTCCTCAAGGGCTTAGACCGGATGTACCCACAGCAACGCCAACCCGTTCCGGCGTGGGATCTTAACCTGGTTCTCTCCAAGCTCACAGGGCCCCCGTTCGAGCCATTGGCTACTCACTCCTGTACCTATCTTGGAAGACAGCCTTCCTTGTAGCCATCACTTCAGCTAGGCGTGTTTCTGAAATCAGGGCTCTTACGTCTGAGCCTCCATACACAGTTTTCCATAAAGACAAGGTGCAGCTTCGCCCCCACCCTGCCTTTCTTCCCAAGGTAGTTTCACCTTTTCATGTGAACCAGGATATATTTCTCCTGGTCTTCCATCCTAAGCCGCACGCCACCCGTCAAGACCAGCGTATGCATTCCTTGGACGTACGCAGGGCCCTGGCTTTCTATATTGAGCGTACAAAGCCATTTAGGAAGACGACACAACTCTTCGTTGCAGTGGCTGACCGGATGAAAGGCTTACCGGTCTCCTCACAACGTCTCTCCTCTTGGATCACGTCCTGCATTCGTGCTTGCTACGACCTGGCCGGTGCCCCGACGCCGCGCCTCAGCGCCCACTCCACGAGGGCCCAAGCCTCCTCGACTGCCTTCCTGGCTCGAGTCCCGATCCAGGACATTTGTAGAGCTGCGGTTTGGTCGTCGGTCCACACCTTCGCCGCTCACTATGCGCTGGTACAGCAGTCCAGAGACGATGCTGCATTCGGATCAGCGGTTTTGCACACAGCGATGTCTCACTCCGACCCCACCGCCTAGGTAAGGCTTGGTAGTCACCTAATGAATCGATATGAGCAAGCACTCGAAGAAGAAAAAACGGTTACTCACCTTTGTAACTGTTGTTCTTTGAGATGTGTTGCTCATATCCATTCCAAACCCGCCCCCCTTCCCCACTGTCGGAGTAGCCGGCAAGAAGGAACTGAGGGGGCGCTGGGTTGGCTGGGGTATATATCCAGCGCCATGAAGGCGCCACTCCAGGGGGCTCCACAGCCGACCCACCGGGTGTTGCCAGGGTAGAAAATTTCTCCAATGATCGTGCACGCGGCGCACGCACACCTAATTGGAATCGATATGAGCAACACATCTCGAAGAACAACAGTTACAAAGGTGAGTAACCGTTTTTTCTTACATGTCACTGCCTGAATACATACAGCAGTTCCCATGGAGTGCCTATTCACCATGGTACCAGGCGTAGTATCTCACAAGGACCTATCTCCCAAGGACCAATGGCCCAGACATAATTGGGGTCCAGGGGCCATATCAGTGGCCTTTCAGGAATCCTTGGGGTTTCCCTCCTCAATCTAGAGCATGCCTCACAACTTGCCTTTGCGAGTGTCTGTACCAGAATCACATCAAACCACCCTTGGTAGAGACTTGTATATGCAGAGGTTTGCTCTCAGGAGTTGACCTTGGAGGAATCAGAAGAGGGTTCACCTCACCAGTCCTTGACCACCTCCTCTTCATCCACCAATGAGGCAGTGATAAGGAGAGTCTGTTTCTCCCACACCTGATGATTACAGAGCCCATCGGGAGATGTTGAAGAGGATGGCTGCAACTCTGAATATCCAGCCGGAGGAGGTCCAGGGAAAGTCACACGTGCATGTGGACATTTTAGCCTTGGTGGGACCCTGTAAGGTAGCTCTCCCTATTAAGGAGGCTATCCTTGAGCCTGAAAGTGTTCTGTGGCAGACCCCATCTTCCCTGCCCACTACTGCAAAAAGAGCAGAGTAGTTACTACGTCCCCTCACAGGGCTTGAAAAATTTCTATAATCATCCCTCTCTGGGCTCCCTGGTAGTCTCTGTAGCCAATGAAAAAGAGGAGACAGGGTCACCAGGTGTTATTACTGAAAAGCAAAGAAGTAAAGAAATTGGACTAATTTGGAAGGAAGCTTTATTCCACAGGAGGTTCATAGCTTTGAATTGCAAACCAGGAGGCTCTGCTGGGTCATTACAATATTATCTCACGGGGTAAAATTGTAAAATTTAAGGACAGGCTTCTAGATGAGCTGAAACAGGGATTTACTGTGATGGTGGATGAGGGGAAATTAGTTGCCAGAATGTCTTTGCAGGCTGGTCTAGACCCAACTGACTCTGCAGCTTGAGACATGGCCTCATTAGGTGGTGGTGTTCATGGCTGCAGTCATTTTGGGTCATTCCCCCCCTTCCCCCCCCCCAGGTTCACCAGACTATTCCAGAGCTCCAAAAGGGTACTTACAATAAGGGGTGGTGCCAATAGACCATTCAAGATCCTTTTTGTGGGTCATTCATTTTTTTCTGGAAAGACTGACAAGAGGCTGCATAGTCACAAGGAATCAAAAGCGACCATTAAGTCTCTGGGTATTTATATGCTGGCAACAAAAAGAAACTCCTTTCATTCATAGCACTCCCACTATCCAAATTTCATGACCTGTACCAAGGACGTGTCCAGGAAGAAGAGCAGAAGTTACAAGAGACATCTACCACCTCTTTCTGCCTCTGCAGTGCCGGTTCATCTAGGCAAGCTGGGTCCTCCAAACAAACATTTTGATGCATTGGTCAAGGACAGACTGCCAGTCCCCAGAATGCCATCTTTTCACATCCCCCATTTGCTAATCGCCTATCCCGCTTCCTAAATTCTTGGTCTGGCATCACCACAGATTGGTGGGTTTTAAGCATAGTGGAATTGGGATGTACCCTTGAGTTTGTTTCCATCCCCCCTCCCGCTGTTGTTCCTTGCCCTTGTCCAGGGACCTCTGTCATGAGGCTGTTGTACTACAGGAGGTCCAGTCTCTGTGTCTTGTGGGAGCCATAGATGAAGTTCCTCTGTTACTCACAGGAAAGAGGTTTTATTCCTGCTACGTTCTAATCCCGAAAGCAAAAGGCTGTCTCAGGCCTATTTTAGATCTGAAAGAACTCAACAAGTTCCTGAAGAAAATAAAATTCCAGAAGGTCACCCTAGCTTCCATTATTCCTTCTCTGGATCCCAGGCACTGGTATGCTGTCATCAACTTAAAAGATGTGTTTGAATTTATATGTGAAGTTATTAATACCCTTTGTATAATGTTATTAAAACATGTTTAAAACTAAGACATCCTAGCCTAGCAAAAGTGATAAACAGGTCTGTCTTAGACAAAGAAATGTGGGTTTACCTCAGTTTACATATTAGCCACAAACAAAGCTATCAAGGAAACCAGCAGGGATTGGCTTAGCCTGAACTTGAGAGAGAGAGGGAATTAACATGGCTCCTGCACCCCAGAGAGACACTGGAGGCTGAATCTCCTGGAGGCTTTACTAACTTTTAGAATAATGGCAATTCTTTAGGAATATAATTTACTCCTGAGGGAATTCTGCACCAAAATATATATATCTATATATATATCTCCACAGATACAGTATCCTGACACTCCCCTCCCCCATGGAGCTTGAATCTAGTTTCAGCAAAGCTGATGGGTTCCCCCTTTGGGTTTCTGGCAACCTGTTCACTGCTACACCTTTCAATTAAAGTGGCTTTTTTTTGGCTGCTGTTATGTTGGCCAGAAAAGTGGGGACATTGCAAGTGCTAGTGTGTCAGAGCCTCCCTGTATGGTCTTCTGTAGTAACAGTTTGCCTTTGTCCTCACCCGAAGTTTCTTTCTAAAGCAGTTTCCAGCTTTCACATTAATCAAGCAATCTGATGACTGGTCTTCTTTCCAAAGCCTCATATGCATAAAGACAAGGAAAAGCTTCTCACTCTAGATGTTAGAAGAGCTTTGGCTTTTTACCTGGATCAGACTAAACCATTTCGGTCTTCAATACAACTGTTCATCACAATTGCAGACAGAATGAAAGGCTGTCCAGTGTCCACTCAGAGAATCTCTTCTTGAATATCCAGTTATATTCAGTTACGCTATCAGTTTGATAATGTGACGCCCCTGAGTAGAGTGTTGGCCCATTCAGCGAGGTCTCAGGCAGCTTCTGCGGTATTTCTGGCTCATATGCCCATCTTTGACATTTGTAAGAAAGCAACCTGGTCATCATTCCATACATTTGCCTCTCACTTTGCTGCCTCTCAGCAATCCAGAGACAATGCTAGATTTGGATGAGTAATAGTCTATTCTTTATTAAAGTAAACACTGAAACCACTTCCAGTTCAAACTGCTTGTGAGTCACCTACAGTGAATGGACATGTGCAGTCACTCGAAGTAGAGACTGCTACTAACTTTTTTTTTTTTGGTAATTTCAAGATGTGTTGCACATTTCTGTTCCATGACCCTCCCTCCTTCTCTCTATCGGAATTGTTCTGGTAAGAAGAGACTGAGGGGGGTCGGGGCAGTTCCACCTTTTATACCTGCGTGCAGTAGTGCAAGGCAACAGAGAGCACTCAAGTTGCTCCAACAGGGACCGCCATGGGAAAAATTTCTGACAGCTGTGCTGTAGGTGTGCACACACCTACAGTGGAATGGAGATGTGCAACACGTCTTGAAGAACGACAGCTACGGAAAAATAGGTGAGTAACCATTTCTTATTAATGGAATGGCTATAACATGGTTGTACAGATGACATTTAACTTTGCAGGAAGTTAATGAAAGCAGTTAATTTTAAATTTGACTTATTTGAAATTCTCTTTTAAACTGTTATTTCTAGACACAGACTCTGTGCCTAGTTATATTTCTTAGCCAGTTTTGCAGTCATATTAAAATTGAGTGTGTGTAATGGAGAAGATGATGGACTTTCTGTTCTAGTAGCACAAGCCGGTTTAGTCAGTGCAGCCGTAAGCCTGTGAAGCCTAGTCTAATGTGAGTATCCTGTGCCAAACTCTCTTCCAGTTGGAGAACGCCAAACTGTCCTCTGACCAAAATGACAAAGCTGCTAGCGCTGCCCGGGAGGAGCTGAAGGAAGCTCGCATGAGGATAGAGTCTCTCAGCTACCAGCTTTCTGGCTTGCAAAAACAGGTGAAGGGACTACATTTCCGTACATCTAAAACTCTGTGAACGGTTGGTCAAATAAAACTTGAATTCCTTTCCCTTTGTTCACACTCCATGAATGCTCTGGAGAATGAGTTGACTAGCAGGTATGTTTGTAGAAAACAGTACATTTTACACACATTTTAGTGGAAGGTGAATTTTAAACTTGTAATTGTGAGTATTTGCATTGAAAATCTTATTCTAAAGTTACTTATCAGACAATGTGACCTGTATCCCATCTTACACTAATTATTAAACTACCATTATAGCCCCAATCCTACCAACTGTTCCTGGTACAGTAACCCCTGTTGCATATATTCCATCTCAAAACTCAACTTTTTTCCTACATTTCAGGGGATGAAAGGGGTTTTGGAGCATTCCCAAAAGATTAACTAGTCTGGATTTCAGTAGACAAGGGGCCTAGTGAATGTCTTAGTTGCAGGAGCACACCCTGCCAAGAGTTCCCTAAAGCCCTGTTGCTTTTGCCACTTAAAGCTATAGAGTGAATAATACACTGCCCTTTCCCTGTGGGATGGATTAGATGGTGACCCATATGTCTGTTCTGCCTCTGGAAATGCATGGCTGTAATTGAATTCCTGAGTCTAGCTGTCTGGTTTTGTTTCCCCTTTTGCAATACCTGTCAGAGGGAAATCACGTATCCTCCTCTGTCTCCACACACATGCTAGGTTGACTTCTTGTTTTACTGTGACCATAGGCTAGTGTCGCAGAAGATCGCATTCGGGAACTGGAGGATATGATGGCTGGTGAGCAGGACAAGTTCAGGAAGATGCTAGATGCCAAGGAAAGGGAAATGATGGAAATGAGGGACCAGATGCAGCAGCAGCTTGCAGAATACCAGGAACTGCTTGATGTCAAATTAGCACTGGACATGGAGATCAGTGCCTACCGAAAACTTCTGGAGGGTGAGGAAAAGAGGTAGGTATAGGTTTCACATGCTTCACACTCTGCACAGGTGGGAATTTTTCTCAGCTCTGACATTGGTTTGTCCCATTTGAACACCAGTGCACAAACTTTGCCTAATCGAGGGCCACGCTGGCCTCTTGGAACCTGAGGCCACTATATACATAATGTTCATAAAATGAGGCAGTTGCTGCTGCTTTCATCTGAACACCCATCTATTCAAATGTTTATGAAATACTGTGGATTAACATGTACTTGACATTCAGCTCCTTTTGTACTTACCTGCCAAAGGTTGCAGGACTCTGTGTTTCTCCTGCTTCTGTCATCATGCCTTAAAGCAGTTCATATAAAAGCCTAGGGTATTGGTGTACTGTGGCATGTTATTGTGTATATTAATTCTCTCAAATAATCCCCTGGACCACTCCTGAGAATCTAACTGCAGCCTTCTTCATCTGGTTAAAATGTCTGTTTGATTGCATTAAGATTGAAGCTGTCGCCAAGCCCGTCCTCCCGTGTTACAGTCTCCAAGGCTACCTCCAGCAGCAGTAGCACCAGCACTTCAGTTGTTCGCTCTTCTCGAGGCAAGAGAAAACGGGTTGAAGCAGAGGAGCTTTCAGGCAGTGGTACAAGTGGAATTGGCACTGGGAGTAGTAGTGGTAGCACCAGCGGTAGCAGCAGTAGTTTCCAAATGTCCCAGCAAGCCTCAGCCACAGGAGGCATCAGCATAGAAGAGATAGACCTGGAGGGAAAATATGTTCAATTGAAGAACAACTCTGAGAAGGTGAGTGTTAGCAGAACCTTTAGAAAGGCCGCAGTGAGCTAGCATGCAGATATGACATGGCCTTTTGTAACCCAAACATACTGCGCCCCGGAGAGAGATGATGGCCAGTCTCCCTTGGGCACCGCTCCTTCAGAAGTGACAAAGTGGTACTTAAATGCTGATAGTATTGTTTCAGCACCAATATTGTGGTCAGCGCTATACAGGACACAGAAGAGGGGATAGTTTGTGTTCCAAGAAGCTTACCATTTAGTAGCCTGATCCTGCAAACAAACCTCTAGGTAAGTTTACTCATTTGAGTAGTCTCATTGACTCTAATGGGATTAGTGGGTGAGTACAGTTACTTACTTGTGTATTTGCAGGATTGGGCCTTAAATAAGGAGCTTGCAATCTAAACTATTCATTGGGTTAAAAAAAAAAATACTCCCAGAAGCTACAGTGCATGTGACCCAATAACAAACCGTGGGAAAAGCTAGTGACTGTATCCTTAGCATTTTAATAAATACACAGGCATTAGAGATGCCATCTGTCTGGCTCTAGATATCTATTCCTAAATAAACTTCTATATCTTTCCATTAGGACCAGTCTCTGGGTAACTGGAGACTGAAGAGACAAATTGGAGATGCGGAAGAAATTGCTTATAAATTTACTCCAAAGTATGTCCTCAGGGCTGGGCAAACTGTTACAGTAAGTCACTGAGGAGACACTTTTGTTGTTGCTGTGGCATCTGGTGTGAATGTGAGCGAGTGTTTAACTGGGCTTGATATAGGGCTTGCCCCTGCTCCCATTGAGCTCACTTTTGTTTGGAGTAAGATCATGCTCCTAAAGAATACGATATGGGAGTTGAATTTCTGCAGTACCATTTTAGTGGATTAAGAACTGTCGGGTTAGGCCTGTTATCTGGCATTTTATATGCATTTTTGTGTTCACCAAATGAATCATTACTAAATTAGATATTTTGTCTGCAATCTGCGTTAAAAGTCCCTCCATAGGAAAGGAGCAGCTTTCCTTGTATTATTGCTTAAATATTTGCCATAGCAAGTGGGAACTTATAGCCTTTTAAGAGGTTAACGGGATGAGTATGGCAGCTGTATTTTGTCTCTGGGCTCTACCATGATAGTAAATGCACTGAGTCCAGGAAGATTAATTACTATATGCAGAAAAGAAATGACTGAAATATTAAACTCCATTTATTTTCTCTTCTCTGTAACTGTGCTTGCTATTAACTTGCAGCTTCTTAACGTTTTGTAGGGAAAAAAACATTTTCCTGCAAATAGTTTCACTCTAGTTTCATCTACTTCACTGTCATTGGGAAATGAGAAGGAGCAAGTGGGGTGGCAAGAAAAGGGTAATGATAAAAGTAAAAATATAGGGTTTTTTACATATAAAAAGAAAAAGGGCATAAACATCTGCATATAGAATTTCTCTTTCTTAGATCTGGGCTGCAGATGCAGGTGTGACTCATAGCCCCCCTTCTGTCCTTGTGTGGAAGAATCAGAGCAGCTGGGGCACTGGAGGAGACATCCGCACATATCTGGTGAACTCTGATGGAGAGGTAAGCTTTGTCTTCTGGAAAATGATGTGGGCTGCATTACCTCCCAAACCCGTCTATGCATTTTTGACAAAATCGCAGTTTCACACTATCCTTAACTCTCTTCTTTTAAACAAAGTAGTGTTTTCATTTGTCTGTAACGTTTAAGGGATAAACATCTATGAGCTCAAATGTGGTTTTAGGAAACATGGTTCAACATACTGATCACTTTAGTTGATCTTTTTAGTGAACTGTCCTGGAGAGTAGAGGATTTGAGTATACATTTCCAGTAGAGAAAGCAAATGTGCATTGCTCATTATTCCAAATGATGATACTTAGCATATTTTAGGGTGCTATGTAAACAATAATAATGCAAAAAAAATAGAGATTTCTTCAGTGCTGCAACCATATCAGGAGTTTCCACTGGGCACAGGTTTCTGAGTATTCTTCGTTGTCCTGCATCCTCCCTCAACTGTTTTTGAAAACTGTCCCTGCAGAAGAATCTTGCAAGGGAGGATCATGCTTTGGCTGCTATTGGTAAACATGCATTGCTTCAGCTGCCCAGAAGCAATAGCAAAGTAAAACTGACCAGCATTGTGTCAGTTTTCATGCCTTTCTTGCTGACAGTTCTATGAAGGTATTGCAGGAACAGCAGCACAGGACACAGAGGTAGGATAAAAGATCATAGATATACACAGGGAAGGGAACTGGCTCAGTATTCAAACTGGACACATTTATTCAATTAGTAGCTGAAGGATCCTCAAAAATAAAATAACCTCTCCCCACAACCTGATATTTGTCAGTACCTCCACTTGGAAATGTCTGTATCTAGGAAGATTTCCCCAGAAATTCAGATGTATCCCCTACATACAATTCCAATGTGCAACTGCTGTGAGGACCAACAGCTTCTTATTACTAATCTTTGCTACAATAAATTAGAAAGGAAGGAAACTTCCTGAATTTTAAAATAATCCTTGTAGTAGCTTAGTGAAGACAACAATTCCAAATAATTGGTACATGCAACTGACATAGAATATGAGTGGAAATTAGATAGAGGTTTCAGTTTAGCTGTGTAATAGTTAAGAGAAATAGATCAGATCTTAGCACATTCCTCAGTCTTTTATGTCACAGTTCCCAGTTAAGCCCATTAGTAGGTTTTTAAAAATGAATAAACCCCACATGAAAGGTAGAAAGGCATCTTATCTGCTCCCTCTCAAACTTCTAGGAATAAGAGAAAATAGCTAAAGATAAGGATGATTGAAAACAAAAATTACATCACTACAGTTAGAGATGGGCAGAAATAAGGGAGGGCCTGTAGTTTGCAGAACCTTATTGGCTAGGATTTGGTTTCATAAAAACCCCAAACCAGGGATGATCATTCAAATATGTGGCCAACTGCTTGGAATTCCCCAAAGTTTGGGTGAGAGGGGAAGAGCTGATGGCAAAGCGAACACCTGTGTCTGTCCCCTTGTCTAGGAAGTTGCAGTAAGAAGCATCACAAAATCAGTTGTGGTGCGGGAGAATGAGGAGGAGGATGAAGCAGAGTTTGGAGAAGAGGATCTCTTTCACCAGCAGGTAATATGATGAGAACCGTTTGTTTAAACTCAGGCTATCCTCCCACTTCTCCTCACTTGTGCCTGGTGAATTGGGTTAGATTCAAGCATGGAATGGTGCATCTTCCAACAGCTTTTGCAAGCTGTGGCCATTCTGATCCCAGCTTTTGGAATAGGTTCCTGTAAAGGATGTGCCAAAGAGAGCATTCTGCAGTCCCTGCTCCTGAGCTCTTAACTTCAGGAACTGATGTATCCTTTTGGGCCCCACAAGATGCACTGTAGGCAGTGACTGCTGACAGGTCAGGGTGCCATAGACTTTGGGACATAATCCTGGTGCTAATGGATTTGAAACAGCAGGAGTGTTTCTGAGAAAGGCCGTGAAGGTTGGTGATAGTGTAAACTCCGTAGAACAAAGAAAAATCTTTATTGCCCTGTAGATTCCTATTGCTGCTCTTCGACAGCTGTATGAAATAAGAGCTGGGAAATTGTGTGATCAGTGATTCCCACCAGCCTGTGCTGCCTTCCCTACTAGCAGGGCTAGCACTAATGTCTGTAGCATCCTTGCTCTAAAGAGACAGAAGATATTCTGAAAAATATGGCAGTTAATTACAGGGAAGTGGACGATCCTGTTCCCACTATGGCAGCTGGGCTTTGCTGGTGTGTTTTCCTGCAGGATACAAATGTTACACAATAAATAAACTTGGCTGACCTTGTTACGATTACCTTTTATGTAAATTCCAATGCTTTAGAATGAGTATGGGAGAATGAATGGCCAGCAGCTAATGGAGCTGACAGAAGAGAAAAACTTTGTGCATGTTATACTAGAGGGCACTTTCAAACTACTGTAAACTATTGCCATATATTCAGATTTGATCAGTGGGCATTAGTAGCCTCTTTCACAATGAACTCAGCAGGCTAGGCCAATGCAATTTTAAAATCAACTTCTGGACATTTCTTGGTTTCAAGGAGATTGAATTCAGAGAGTGGAAGAATCTGAAAACAAATACACAGTGTTGTGTGTTTTGTATCCATAGAAGCATGGTGCCAGGATACAGTTCTGTGCCAGATATCTGGTCGAGCTTCATTGGTGTGTGTTTGTGCATTATTACAGACTGCATTTAGAGGAAGGATAATACAGTTCCAACGATGACTCAATATCACACTTCTTCCCTCCTCTCTGCCAGTGTGGAATAATAGCAGGGAACTCTGCCAACACTGCTTCTTGCCATACTCCCAACTTGTTTAGTGATAGCCCCCACCGGGGGTCTATCTGGATTAGGAGAAAGATGCTTTTTAAACCAGTATGATACCTGAGCCTAGGTTACAACATGACCAACTAACAAGTTTGTAAAGGTGTTAAACTGTCTGCAGTAGGTGCCAAATGGTGTTTCAAGTCATGTTAGCTAACTTGAGTTATCTTTTGTACTAGTCAAGACAGGACATGAGGTGCTTGTGGCCTGCTATCATTCTACTGTGCACTAACTAATTTCTTTGTTCCTCCAGGGGGATCCCAGGACAACGTCTAGAGGATGTTCAGTGATGTGAAAAAACATTATTATTTGCTACTTTTTTCCTTTCTTTCCTTTTATTTTTGCTATTTTTTTTCCTCCAGAGCCACTGAAAACTATTTTTATATGTATCATCTGATTTCTTTAAAAGTTTATTCCTTGTTACATTTTTATAGAAAAAAAAATTAATCAAGCAAAACTGCCAGGATTTTTAAATAGATTTCTTTATCCTCCCCCCTTGCCTACTATGGGAATATTGGATTATTTCCCCACCATTAAAACTTTTGTCTTATATACAAACCTGCAGTAGAATGAATTTTAAGCTAAAATGGGACAGGACTCCTTCAGAGTAGGGTAAATATTAGGGCTGTTGATTAATCGCAGTTAACTCATGCGATTAACTCAAAAAAATTAATCACAATTAATCTCACTGTTAATCAAAAGAATACCAATTGGAATTTATGAAATATGTTTGGATGTTTTCCATACATTTTCAAATACATTGATTTCTGTAACACAGAATACAAAATGTACAGTGCTCACTTTATATTATTGTTGATTACAAATATTTGCACTGTAAAAATGATGAACAAAAGAAATAGAATTTTTCAATTCACCTCATACAAGTACTGTAGTGCAATCTTTGTCATGAAAGTGTAACTTACAAATGCAGATTTGTTTTGTTACATAACTGCACTCAAAAACAAAACAATGTAAAACTTTAGAGCCTACAAGTCCACTCAGTCCTACTTCTTGTTCAGCCAATTGCTAAGACAAACAAGTTTGTTTACATTTACGTGAGATACTGCTGCCTGCTTCTTATTTGCAATGTCACCTGAAAGTGAGAACAGACATTCGCATGGCATTTTGTAGCGGGCGTTGCAAGGTATTTACGTGCCAGATATGCTAAAGATTTGTATGCCCCTTCATGCTTTGACCACCATTCCAGAGGACATGCTTCCATGCTGATGATGCTCATTAAAAAAATAACGCATTAATTAAATTTGCAACTGAACTCCTTGGGGGAAAATTATGTGTCTCCTGTTTTACCCGCATTCTGCCATATATTTCATGTTATGGCAGTCTTGAATGATGACCCAGCACATGTTCGTTTTAAGAACACACAGCAAATTTGACAAAATGCAAAGAAGGTACCAATGTGAGATTTATAAAAATAGCTACAGCACTCGACCCAAGGTTTAAGAATCGGAAGTGCCGTCCAAAATCTGAGAGGGACAAGGTGTGGAGCATGCTTTCAGAAGTTTTAAAAGAGCAACACGCCGATGCAGAAACTATAGAACCTGAACCACCAAAAAAGAAAATTAACCTTCTGCTGGTGGCATTTGACTCAGATGATGAAAATGAACATGTGTCGGTCTGCTCTGCTTTGGATCGTTATCGAGCAGAACCCATCATCAGCATGGACGCTTGTCCTCTGGAATGGTGGTTGAAGCATGAAGGGACATATGAATCTTTAGCGCATCTGGCACGTAAATATCTTGCCACGCTGGCTTACAACAGTGTCATGCAAATGCCTGTTCTCACTTTCAGGTGACATTGTAAACAAGATGTGGGCAGCATTTTCTCCTGCAAATTGTAACCAAACTCGTTTCTCTGAGGGATTGGCTGAAGTAGAACTGAGTGGACTTGTAGGCTCTAAAGTTTTACATTGTTTTAATTTTGAATGGAGTTATTTTTTTGTACATAATTCTACATTTGTAAGTTCAACTTTCATGAGAAAGAGATTGCACTACAATACTTGTATTAGGTGAATTAAAAATACTATTTCTTTTGTTTTTTTCAGTGCAAATATTTGTAACCAAAAATAAATATAAAGTGAGCAGTGTACACTTTGTATTTTGTGTTGTAATTGAAATCAATATATTTGAAAATGTGGAAAACACCCAAAAATATTTAAATAAATGGTATTCTATTATTGTTTAACAGTGCCATTAATCACAACTAATTTTTTTAATCACGTGATTAATCGCGACTAATTTTTTTAATCGCTTGACAGCCCTAATAAATATGTCATTCTTTAACCTCAAGCTGGTTTTTAAATAACAGATTTAAGGCAGTATGAGCCTGTACAGGGCTTTCAGAGAACCCAACGTGAGTGCTTCCCACAGTACTGGAGTCATTTAAGAAAATGGTAATATCCTTTTGATATATTGAGTCTTGTATACACTAGGAAAATTATAACCCAGAATTTACCACAGATGCTGCTCCACCAGTGGAAGCAATGATAGAAGCTGCAGTGTAGACAGAGGTGGCAAGAGTACCGTGGTATTTAACCCTATTCCAAGTAGGATTAGACAACATCTGAACCTTTCCGCGTTATCGCTCCGTCATTGCTAACACTGGTGGAGAATGATGGGTCCCAGTTATTCTCGGGCAGGTATAGTCTGAATGTAATGAGGGATCAAAGCTGAATTTTTTCACGGTTTTATTTATCGGGACTTTCAGTCACGATTGAGACCCTAATAAATAGTGGATGCAAGGGTGAAATTGTGATGGACAATAGATATGATGATATGAATCATGAGCTAATGGTTGTAAAGTATTTGGCATTAAACAGAACTTTTGGTTTCAATAATTCAGATTTTAGATGTTAAAATATTTTATTTTTGGCTATGATACATATTTGATGGGGTTTTAAAAAGCAATCGTAAATGTTGATTTTTTTTATCACTGCTACATTCAGTTTATTAATAGTTCTGTTGTATGTAAAGGGACATTGTCAGATAGTTTAGGCAACAAAGCATTTGCAAAATGTCTTTAAAAAGTGAGAAGTTTTTGGTTTGGGTGTAAGCAATTTCTTGCATTGTTTGCCGCAGCAGGTTGTCCAGCCTGACTGAAATGCTCTAAGTACAATACATATTAGAAGTAAGATATTACTAAAAAAATGTTATTGTATCTGATAATGTCTCCTTAAGTTCTGGTTTCCTCTCTTGTGTTTTTACCAGAGGTCATTTTGACTACCAGAAGCATTAGGATTCTTGTGGTAGTGCACCTTTATACACTATGAAGTATAATTGACTGCTCCAAAGAATATATTGACTGCAATGTAAGCAAACATTTTTTCCCAATAGTTGATCATTTGGATACCATTTGATGCCAGCATAGAACTCTTGTACTACCTGCACTCTTGAACTCTGATCTTGTTATTCAAGTAGTTTAGATTCATCACACAAGCTAGAAGGTTTGGATGTTTTTGGTGGCTTTTGGACATTATGTTCTCTGAACGGTATTTAGACTGACAGATATAACTTAGAAGGCCAGGTTAGTGGCTTTAATTGATGGCTTTGCTACAATGCAAGCAGGGTGGGAAAGGGATTTTTAAAAAGGTTATGAACTTTCTCTTCTCGTTTAAAAAATGTCTGAGGTGCTAATTTTCTGCAGGTGTTCACAAAATGTTCACCTCAGTAAGGTGATTTAATTATCACAATTAAATGCTAGTAAAGTATTTAGAATTATATTTTAGTCCATTATCAATGTTCATTGTGAAAAAGCAGTAAAAAGAAATGGATTTTTGGAAGAATGTTTCTCTTTGTCCTTGTATTTGGTCATTTTTCTTATATTCCCACTCTGCTTGAGTAGGTGGTTGAATATGTAGTAAATCATACCTATCGCTGCAAAATATATATAGCTGAAATTGTGTTTCTCAGCCATACCACTGCCAATTACCTTTTCTAAATTATTGTTATGCAAATGAATGCAATCAGGGTGAAACTGTTTTTGCAATATACCTTCTAACCACTGGACTCTGTTTCCCTTTCCAACTCTGTTTTCATGATTTACCTTATATAGAAGATAGGTTTTTTTTAAAGATCTATATATTTTTTTTAATGTTGGCCAGTATTCAGAGTGCTCATTCTGCTTTGTAGTAGACTTATTCCTTTAATATTTTAAACTATATAGAATAATATGTAGTTCATTGAAGAATCAGTTGGCTTTATTTAGTGAATTTCCTTGTAAAGTCTGGGCTAGAAGGGCAGCTTGTATCAGAAAAGACCTCATGTGATCTGAGCCATAGTTTCTGCAACACATACTGAATATGAGAATGTGTCTTGCTTTAGGGTCTGATGCTTACAGACCCTTACTACTGGCTGTAGTGCCTTTTACCCTGAACTGGCTCATTGAAGTCAGTGGGACTGGCCAAGGTGGTGAGCACAACATCCCCTAGTAAGTGTCTACAGAATTGGGCCCTAAGTTTGGAGTTGTTTCCTATGAAACTTCCTAGAAGCTTGTTCAAATGCCAGTGCTGGTACAGATTAACTTCCTCTGAGTTCTGCACATGCAAGGTTGAAGAGCTTGATGTTTTATGGCCTTTGTTAACTGTAATAATCCTGCCTGAAACTGACACACAAGCTTACACCATTAAGAAAGGTAAAAAAGGCTGCAACAGTGATTTCTGGATGTAAATTGCTTCTTCCTCCTGCCATGCCATGTTTATGTAACATAGGTGCTTAGAGACGGTGGTGAGATGGGACAGTATAAGAAGCTCAATAGACTAAGACTAACCTCCTAAAAGCATCTTTGCTTTGGTGATGGTTACCACTGCATTTTTCAGAAGGCTACTTAAAATGTAAGGAGCAATTCCTGATTGTAAAGTGCAAGACACAGTAAAACTACTGTATTCCGCTTCTTGTTTGCATTAATGTGTCTCTTCTGAAAACACCCCCTTTCCCATTTATGTTTGACTTGCTGAGCATTCAGCCTGACTCTTTCATCAGATTAAAGTAGGCACTCCAAACTGGAAGCATTTTCTGCTATACCAGATCTAAAGCAGCACTGTTCATTTTTTGTTTTTTGTATTTATTTTTCTATTCTTTTTTTTGTTTTTGTTTTTGCCAATCCCAATAGTTAATTAAAGCTTTGTGTTCAGACCAAGTGTAGCTTCTTCCTACCTAGCCATCTTTTTCTATTAGATCCTGCAGGTGAGCCATTCATGTTGTATGTGGAAGATCATCAGAATTTCCATGGCAATAGACTTAATATTACAAATGCAGGTTCCTTAAGAAGGCAGAGTTGGCCTGTGAGGGAGAATTGATCAGTCTAGTTAGCACAAAATAATGATTTTGCTCTAGCTATGCCAATATAACTCATTGGTGTGGACATTCTATTCTGGAATTCAAGTCATTTTATTCTGACCTAAGGGAGTTACACTGGAATAGCTATAGCTGGTCAATTTCCCCATGTAGGCAAGCCTTTATTCACTAATAGCAAAGGGAACAGCAACAAAGAGCTATGTGAAAAGCGTACTATAAATGCTCCCTCTCCCAGGTTTGCATATTGTGAAGGTACTTGGGGTGTGGGAGGGGAGCAAATCCAGCATCCTCCTGCATGGCATGGCCATAGAGCAGAGGTGGGCAAACTACGGCCCGTGGGACCATCCTGCCCAGCCCTTGAGCTCCCGGACGGGGAGGCTAGCCCCCAGCTCCTCCCCTGCTGTCCCCCCCTTCCCCACAGCCTCATCTTGCCGTGCCACCAGCGCTCTGGGTGGTGGGGC